AGCAGGAGAAATCCTCTCAGGAACTGAAAAAGCAATTAGCTAGTGCGCCTGTGCTAGCTTATTTTGACAAAGATGCACACACGCGAGTGATAGCCGATGCAAGTCCCGTGGGGTTAGGCGCTGTTCTGGTCCAGGACAAGAATGGAGAGAGCCGAGTCGTTTGTTACGCCAGCAGAAGCCTCAGCAGTGTCGAAAGGAGGTACGGCCAAACTGAAAAGGAGGCACTAGCTCCCGTGTGGGCCTGTGAACGTTTTAACCTTTACCTGCTTGGGTTACCAACCTTTGATTTAGTCACGGACCACGAAGCATTGAAAGTGGTCTACTTGAGAGGATCCAAACCATTTGCATGCATCGAGCGCTGGGTGCTAAGACTGCAACCATACAGTTACAAGGTATGCTGTGTCAAGTCCCAAGACAACATTGCAGATGTCCCATCACGTCTGACGAAGATCCCCGCTGCAGAGATATGATGATGAGCACGTTCGAATGGTTGCTGTCAGTGCCGTACCTATAGCCCTAAAGGTTCAGGAGATTGAGAGTGCCTCGGCTGAGGATGAGGATTTGCAAGCAGTGCGAAATTGTCTTATAAGTGGGAACTGGGAGAAAACTCCAAAGCCATATGTGTGGGTACGTAGCGAACTTACCTATATTGGCCAAGTCATCCTTCGTGGAACTAGAATCGTGATTCCTAACATTTTGAGGAAGAGGGTCTTAGAACTTGCACATGAGGGACGCAAGGGGGTGGTGAAGATGAAGGAGCGCCTGAGATCTAAGGTGTGGTGGCCAGGTGTTGATAAAGATGCAGAACGAAGTGCCGAGAGTGTTATGGGTGTCAGCTTGTGACAAAGGAGACAGTGCCTCCACCAGTGAAGACAGCCAGGATGCCTGAGAGACCGTGAATGGACCTAGCATTGGACCTACTGGGCCCTATGCCAACAGGAGAGTCTTTGCTGGTCCTAGTGGATTATTTTAGCCGATGGGTGGAGGTTGACGTCATTAAGTCCACCAGTTCAGAAGCGATAACTAAGTGCTTAGACAGACAGTTCCCTAAATATGGAGTACCGAGTACCTTGAGATCGGACAACGGACCCAACCTCGTGTCTGCTGAAATGGAGGAGTATATGGATGAGATGGGCATTAAGCACAGGTTGACCACCCCACTATGGCCGAGAGCAAATGCAGAGGTCGAACGGTAAAATCGTTCTCTTTTGAAAGCAATGAGAGTTGCGCATGCTGAGTTCCTCCTGGCATACCCGCGGGAAGTCCGGGGTCATGTGACGCGTTGAAGTAGTGTTTTTGTAGTATAGAGGCGAAGGAAGTAGTGCTCGTGTTTGACTAGACTATTAGCCTCGGTGGCCCATTAGCAATACTACAGTGAGGATATCGGTGATCTAAAACCTGGAAAATGAAAATCCTTTCTACCCATCAGTACTAGTCACCCACGAGGGACTGTCTACTTTTGCAAATTCAAACAAATTCATATTTATACTCCCTTCCCCGCGTGTTTTCCCAACGAGCGGGAACCTAGCCCTCCCATTGAATGTGATAATAATCCAATCATCATTTTTGTTTCGCTTTATCAATATGCTTCTCTATGACGTTTTGCCTTGCTCATCCGCGAGAAGGAAACATTCCCGAAATCGAAATAAATTCATACAGATAGACCCTATGTGTTGGTTAACTCACTCTTCTGCGCCCACTTGGTGAATGTAGGCTGTTTGCTGTAAAGAATAGGGATCTTGTGTTAGTGACTCTTCTCCCATTCGCAGCCTTGGTTAGCAATTATCATCCACCCGGCATTACCGGAACAGCCCCCATAGTTCCGGTTGATGAAGAAGTGCCGGTTGTAGTTTGGCTCTCCAGGAATGGAAAAGTACTTCTTTGACTGTGTTTTTATATCTGTCGAGGCCACCGTAGTCTATCTAGTTTCGGGAAAGCATTCCCTTGGGTCAGAATGATTTTTCTCACGTGATGTCGAGTAAAGAGTTTTTATTGCGCTTTCTCATGTAACAGTATTCCCCTGTGAACATGATGCGAAAACAAGGTGGTTTACTGGAAGCTGGCGCATTATTAAGCTCAGCGTTCAAAACTTATCCACAATAGACAACTAACAGGGGAAGCATCAATTAGTAATTACCATTAGATGTAAAGACATCTTCTTCAGCCCATAAGGTCTGTCAAGTTAACCTCTCAAACGTAAAGATTGCGGAAATAACGGCAAACGAGGATGTGACGAAAATATGTCTCTAAAAGAGATCGAAAACATTTTTTCATGGAAAGTGGAGAATACTTGGAAGTTGGCTGGGAAGCTGAGTGTAAGATCGCATTCATGATGAGGCTGAATCACGAAAAACGACTTCCTTATCTCTCTCCCCAGTTATCCTAAAGAAAAAAAGAATATAAAGAGAATATAAAAAGAACGATTAAGTTGAAATTTTTCCTTTTCCAGTCGAAAACCAAAACAGTAGTTGCCGAGATCAATAGGTGATCAGTATACTGTTATTTCGAGAAAGGTTGTCGGAAAAAGTGCACGCGACAATCCCGAAAGGTACTGTGGGAGGTTTTCTAAAAGTTCTCTGTTCTTCAAAGAAATTTGAAAGAATGGCAGGAGAGGCCATGGGAGTATGTTTGCGAGTGCTAAAGGAAAGCAACAAAAGTGTAGGTTCGACAGCTACAGAGTCAGTGTATTGATCATATCCCATATTACCTTTCGGGACTGTCGCGTGCACATTTTTTCCGACAACCTTTCTCGAAATAGCTGTATATAAATTGGTCAGGTTCACGAGCATAGTGCATTCAGTTAATATTATTCACTTTTTTAGTATTCTCCTGGCAAAAGTCTCTAACGAGCAAATTAATGTATTCTTGTGTAGGAAAATGGAAGTATTTTTCCTTAATAGGCGATTACTATAAACGAGGTTTTTATCTAAGGTAATTCCCTTGAAAAGAAAGTACTATCCAGGGATTTTTTCTTCAACTCCGCACAATTGACGGTCACATATGACAACTAAAACTGTAATATTAAAAAGGTGGTGTAACCGTGCTTGTTTTTGCCCTACTTAACCGTTATTTTAAGTCTTTTCTACTAAGTTGCTCGCAAAGTTCGAAACTCATGAAAACCACTGCAAATGTCAAATACTTGTTATTATAGAAGAAAAACTACGAATACTATTGAAACTTCGAGCCTGTTTGTTTGTCTGGACAATTCAGCAGTAAAGTTATTTCCAACTGCCTGACCTTGCAAATAATGTAAGAAAATTAGAATTGATCTGCATACTTATACTTATCTCATACTTATCTCATAGGTTCTGTGGCTTCATATGCAGGGTCTCACGTCATTCATATAAAATAATACTACTTATACTATAATATATTTTTCTGCTTGAAATAGGTTTTCAAATAGGACTATTTTTGTTGTCAATGAATGAGTAATAGTTACTTGATTAAAGAGTTACCGAAAGAAGGTCAGAGCGTTTGATATAAATATGATATGGCAATACATTATTGAAAGTCAGTGAAACCTAAGGTGTTACTAAATTCTCTTTGGACTGAGCACTAAAATACAAATACTAACCGACTTATAATAGACATAATAAGTGGCTTCAAAATTTCAAAGTTAACAAAAACTGTTTACTTAGATAATTAAAAGTTCTGTGCTGCTGTTGTAGTGTACGTCGTGTGAGCGGGAGAGTGCATAAGAACGAGTAGTAAAATTAATGGCCTTTGTTGTTCTTATCTGATTCAACCCGCTGCTTGAGTGTGTATGTTTGTTCTTTACAGCTGTTATTTGTAATTATTATACATTGCTCTCACTAGCGGTCTTTTCATTGGTTAAGAGCCTACAGACTAGTTATTTGCTAGCAGATATCTGACTAAGTAAGTTGCGGCGCGCCGTGCATTAGTAAAACAAAAGAATTGTATAATTCGCTCCAGAGCCCAAAGATAATTGCTTTTCCCTAAGCCTTGGGGCCAAATATGAATTTTAATATACTGAAATTGGTCTATTTGAAGGTTTCATATTTTTTAGTAAGGAGGTAAAGGAAGTAAAACAAAGCAGTGACAACAGTAAAAACCTCCCGAATTAAAGAACCTGTAAAGAAGTTTTCATAGTCAAATTAGTTTTAACCGTGTTGGAAACCCACAGGCGTAATGGAAAACTAAAAAGTCTATAATGCAATGGTATAAATTACTTTTACTTTAATCAGCATCAGATTAAGAAGCTTATTCGTGATGAAAGCTTCAGCATTATTATGTAGGGTCCGTCCTTACTTGGGTACTTAAACTAACTACAAACTTGTGGTATGAGAAATCCAAGGGTGAAATAAGTTATTGTCTGTGTTCTTAGTTTATTTATCATAGATTTTGTCTAAACGGCGATAGGAGAATTTTTATAAGTTCTTAAACGGGTAAAAATTTTATGACGCAAGTCGAATCTCGAGTTACTCGAGTCACGAGTAATAAAATAAATGTCAAAACTATACATAACAATCAGACAGCATGTCATGTGACCATGTTATCGTCCAGATGAAAAACGTTCTGTTTTCCATCCTTAATTTCTCTTTCTAAAATCATTTTGTTTGAGACAGTAACATGATCAAACATTCACGACTCAGTATTTCATCACAAGATCAAACAAACATCTCTGTCAGCTCTTTCACTTAATATTGTGATGAGACACTGTGGGTTTAAAATGCTGGGCATATTACTTCCGATTATTTCTGCATTATGAATAAAGGTTAGCCTGAGCTATTAAATTCTAAATTGAGAGCCATTTGCATTTTAGCTCTCTGCTGGACCCGACCTGGTGGTGCCGGCTAGGACTGACTTAGTCACGTTCACAGGAGTAGATGGCTAATAAACAGCTGCAGTACTAGGAAAACCAGCCCCTAGTCTCTGAAGTTTATGTATGTGCGTGTATGTGAATTTGGAGTTAACACCAGATAACGCTTCAGAGTATTGCTCGGTCTTTAAACAATCAACTGGGATACTTAATTTTTGAAATGATTTCCCAACCTGCGTTTGTTGTTATTGCCTTTGCTTTTCGCTTTTTGCATGTCTGCTTGGCGCAAAACGAGAGAGAACCGAATTACCTGATGATCAACATTTTGGAATTGAACCAAAGTAGCTCCGACGAAAACGATTCGTCTTGCCCTCCATCGATCACATCGAGAAATGGTAACATTCGTCCTACTAGCATTACGACAAACCTGACAGATAAGACGTCATCCGTTCGCACTGTGTTAACCGACAACACTCAAGATCCTACCACGATGGTGTCAACATCCCCTGGTAAAAACGTATCGACCATTTCCACGGAAGATACTTGCGTGCGGGGCGATGGCCCGCCACCGTTTTGCCTCCGAGTAATCAACATAACATGGCTGTCATTTGCTCCTTTTATTTTTCAGCCTAAGAACAACACGACAGAAACTGAAACGTTAGACGGTGTATTCTACAGAATAATAGGGCGCGCTGTTCAGTTTTGTTGCAAACGTTTTGACTACAGAGGGACACGCTTGGAATATACCCACAAAGCGGAAAACATATATACGTTACATGCTAATATCTTTTATGATAAAGCTTCTGTAGGAATGCCAGTATACATTGAAAATGAGCGTTCTAACCAGACCTATGGAGGTACATTGGCATTTATCACAGTCCTTGAATCTCCCGGGTTGGTTGTTATTGGAAACAAAGACGATGTCAAACAGAATGATTCGAAGCTTCTATGGAAAACCATTTACAACCAGTGGCCGATTGTGCTCATCTCAGTGTTGTTATGCGCAATCTCTGGTATTTGTGTCTGGGCGCTGGTAAGTATTATGGCGCTTTTTGGGGAAAATCCAAATCTGGTTGGAATAAATACATGGTGTTTACTATTTGCATTGGCAAACCGTTCGGTTCACGGTTTGGGCAAATGGTGAACAAAATTCAAGACTAGTAAATTTCGTCCAGGAATCGCGTTTACCTTTCAGAGTACAAATCAGTTCCTTTTACCGAAAAATGACCGCGAAGGCCTGGACATGGTATCAAAGATGGTTTGAAGAAACGGAACACGAACTTCCTTTTGCAACAATCCCACCGGGAAAAACGGTTCTACCTTTTCAGACGTTAATATGTTACTTTCGGAAACTTTCCACCTAAACGACCCAAGAAATCGTGTTCCATTTACTTTCCAACCGGTTTTACGGAAACTTCTTGTAAATGATAAACAACCACATTTGCTTCATTTTCAGCCCTATTTACAACGAGATGGAGTAAGTTTCTAAACGGAAACTGTGTTGTCGGTAGGGAATGAAGAACTCAAAACTGAATTGATAAGGTGGCAAGATTGACCACCAGAAAAGATACGCAATATAATATTTGGCTCCTGCTGGCACTTCCTTATTTGGCTCAAACGAATATACAATGCTGCGGGATGTGATCCTTGCTGCTGCGCGGCCGACATTATAGTGTGACCGGTTTTTAGAATCAAAAAGCTAACTGACTCCAAATTTAAAGTGACAAACGTTCTTGGACAAAGTCCTATATTTAGGCCACGAAAAAGGGTCTCTTTTCTTAAATTAAACAGGGTAGCAAAATGAAGGGTTATGGCATGGTTTGATGGCTTCAGTGGCACAGCCCCTACACAAACTACCCTTCAGTGGTTTCCCGCCCCGGGTTTGTAGACCTCTGGCTCTGACGAAGCCACTGTTTGAATACCTGTGGCCCGTTTAGCGTATCAAGGTACATGATGTAAACACATTGTGGTGTAAACGTACAAGCGAACTGGCGTGTTTACAACCAACCAAGCATATCCAGTTGAATTTGTCAAGTGCAAAGGCTAAATAGATAATCCTTTAATTTTTGTTTTATTTAACAGGATACAATATGGAATACAGATGAATTCCCTCGTCGTTTTCATCGTGGGGCATTTGAAGGTTTCTGGTGGGCCTTCGTTACCATGTCAACCGTTGGGTAAGTGAATCAAAATTCAACTGCACGATCACTAATAAAAGCAAATTTAGGCAATGCACTTCCACACGAATCCGGAACACTAAAACCACATTATTGGTATTTGCACTGAACAGCAATATTTGTTGTGGTGTATCCGATCCGGTTTGGATTCACCCATCCTTAGGAATACACTACTACGACTTACATTATTTTGCTAATTACTAGCTACTAGGCGTGCGCAAAAACCGAACTCGCGATGTGATTTCGCGGTATTTTTGAGTTTATGTAGTACTTGACTTCAAAAATATCCTGTTGGCAGCCGTCTACACGAAATCACCAAAAGCTTCGGATCAGAAAAAAAATCCACTCTGGAGAACGGTTTCAAACACATGCGGTTTCGATGTGCAGACAGCTGATTCGTTTAAAAGAAGTACGCGGTTTTTCAAAGTATCCGCACATAAAGTGCTTTACGCATAAAAGTGACTGGAAAGAATAAGAAATCTTCAATGTCAGCCTAACGCTTAGTGCTTGGAGGTTTCTTGTGCAAAAATGTTACGCCTTTGCATTCTTTGCATGCTACGTGCCTGCCAGTTAACTAAACAAAGTTCGTATAGAGTGTTTTCACTCACGTGGCCAGCATCTATGCAAATTTATTGGAACAAAAGAAAGCGTTTGCATAAGAAAAGAGTTCAACTCCCACAGGACCCGTTTGGGACACCAACATGGCCGCCGTTTCATTGTTTTGGGACACCAACATGGCCGCCGTGACGTCATGTGAAAACACTCTATATAATTTATGTGCCCTAATTTGCATACAGCAATTTCTATATGGTGGTTGGATGACAACCGGTCAATTAACTTACAATAGGGATCAATTTAATAAAAAACTTTTACACGTGTAATTTACAAGTGTAACTTACCGCATTTTTGACCAAATCTTCCTTTTTGAACCGTTTTTCGGCCAGTTAGCATGGGAATAGCTAAAAAAAAAGAGGTTTGAAACATTAAAAACATAATTTTCTGCTAATTAGATGTAAGCAGCTTTTTTGTTTTTCGCGCATCCGCATAAGCCAAAATTTGGCGAATCTATTTCGATGTCTTTTCTCTTTTCTTCTTTTCCTCTTTGCCTTTATTTTTATGGCCATTTTTGTTGCCCACTTTATCGTCTTTCTTAATTTCGCATGAAAGTTTGGCTGCCTTACTCTCCAATTAAGGGACAAATTTAATATGCAAAGAATTTTGGTTAAATAGCAAAATTGGCAGTGGATTTTTTCCCCAAATGTTGCTTAAAATGTGTTTTTGTCTGTAACTCTGTCAGGAGTGGCCAAAATGTTCTAAATGAGGTACCAGTAGAAAGTTCTATCCTCGCTCATTACCATTTTATTCACAGCTTAAATAGAAAGCTTAATGGATACAGGAAGGATAATATGCATGGGTTCATATGGAACAAAAACGACCAAAGCGGACGTTAAAGAGCCGTCAGTTGAGAATGAAAAAAATGTAGTAACGAGAAGAGATTTCTTGCTCAACTTGAATTTGCTATTTTTGAAAAACAACTGGCATTTACTTTTGCTCAATTTAAAGTGAGGTTTTCATGGGCTTAGGATGAAAATGGATAATAATGACGAATTTTATTCCTTGATGTTTCCAGCTGGTTTTAATTTTTTATAGTTTTTATTCGACGTTATTTCGTTCGGTATCTTCATAAGAACCCATGTAGTTTATCTTACAGTGTATTTGTCAAGCATTCTCTGAAAGAAAGGTGCCTTTAAAGGGTTTTCACACACATCTTCACACAGTGCTCTCGTTTTCCCCATTACGTCCTTCTTATCGGCGCTTCGGCGTCCCACTACTACAACTGTACAGACTTTATCAGAGAGCGGCATTGAGACCTGTTGAAAAATAAGCTCTTCTTGTTTTAAGGTACGGAGATAAAGCTCCTAAGTCAGTTATTGCTCGATTATTCTCCATCGTGTGGATCGTGATTGGACTTACAGTGTGTTCAGTTTTGACAGCTACTTTTACCACAGCACTCGCCACAGCAGCTGTCAAAGATGTAGACCTGGTGGGAAAGAAGGTATAATATTCATTATAAAAAATTACTCGGATGTTTCCTTTTGCTATTTTCATTGATTAAAATTATCGTTTGCACATTTATGAGCTTAATAGTCTGTGAAATGGGCATTAAAGGTTTGTGGACTCTGTGGGATGGAGGCTACCTTTGTAGAACTTTAAAGAACATATCGATGCAAAACTGTTGATTTAAGATTGACGTCAATCGTAAATTATTCTACTACTGATAAAGGGATGCATTGAAGTTACGCGAAAAAGCGGCGGAAATTAAACATGTAAGCAAGTTTTGACCTTGGAAATATTTAGAATGAATAATGCGAAGAATAATAAAATATTCATTTGGCTTAGCTTGTTTCTTCAAACCATATTCAGCCTTTTCAAATAATTGCCGTTAAATCCTCCGGCTAATTCTTTTTATAAAATAACCAGTTAGGGCTAACCAAATATGGAACTCGTTTGCTACATCCGATAAAATGACATCAATACTATCCGATAAACGCCAGAAAAAGGGACGGCAACCGAGAGGCCCTGGAGACGAGGTTGCATTGTCTTGGTAGAAGAGTAGAAAATGGCGGAAACCTAAAAAAATTATTGGATTCCGCTTAAGGGTGATCTGAAGAAATGTGGTGCAGATCTCGGAGTATGTTATCCGCTTTGACTGATAACTCTCTCCTAAAAATTATCTGCTATATTCCTTCAGATCACAGTACTCAGCCTCATCCAATAATTACTAAGTGATATGTTACGTTCTCTTGATTGTCCATACTGCAGATTGCTGTGTTGAAGGGAAGTCTAGCATTCCAAGAAGTTATCAAACAGGGAGGAAACCCAACACGTAAGATTAACATGACTAACTGGTCGTATACACGTGTTTAATTATTAACGACAGTTCGTTTATTCCGTTCCCGCTTGCGGGATGAGCACTGAACGGAAAATAATCCCGTGTCTTGCTCTATTTACTAGCTTTTTCACCATTAATTTTATACTTGGGTAGCACATCACAGCTTTCTTAGTCTAAACACCGGTTTGAACTTGAATTTGGAAATCATGGTTTTTGCAAATGTCATCTTGCATATTTTTTAAATTAAAATAGGGACTCCATTGAAATGATTCGCTTGGTTCTCTTGAACAGAACGTAACTCAGCCTAAAAGTTCCAATTCATAGTTGTAACCGGTTCCTGTGGGTCACGTGCTGGCAGGCCAGTTCATTCTGATGTAACATACGACTAGTTCCCTTGATGTTTTGTGGATATTCCCTCAAATCCAGAAAAAAATTTATGCTTGAGGTTCCAAGCGCCAATAGCTCTCAAGTATTGTAACTGCATATTTAATCATGTGACATGGGAAGTTACGCTATATATAACATTTAGTTAATTGTAAATTGTAGCTCTTGCGCGTTGGGGATCTTAAAATTCCTCTCTCTTAACGAGATTGTTTGTCTTCATTCTTCGTTTATTTTCTCAGTTTTTGAAAACTTTGAAGACATGCGAAAAGCTCTCCTAAATAAGAATGTGACAGGTATAATGGATGAGATGTACCACGGACTTTACTGGATGCACCAAGCTAGAGATTCAAGACTGGCTGTGGTTAAGATGATTGAGAGAGCACGTTCTTATGGCTTCGCATTCAAGAAAAACACTATCTTTGAATGGCCGGCTGAGGAGTGCATTCGAAAACTTATTTTGTATCGCAGAGAGGATCTCTACTCTGTTATGAAACAGTTCAAGGATGAAATGAAGGTAATTAGGTTTAATCAATGGAAGTAATTGACTGAGCTTCTTTCGCTAACTTTTTAATCAACTAACTATTGCTCATTGACACCAAAGCAATACCCAATAAAACAAAGGGATAACTACGACATATTATGGGTTGGGGCGTGGCCGAGTGGTCAGCGCGTCGGATCTGCAATCCGGCGGTTTCGGGTTCGAGTTCCCCTACGGTCACTGGCTGGATTTGTTCGGTCACGGCTGTTCCAAATTCAAATCCTCTTCCACGCTTGTTAATACCTCCTGCTAGTTTGGTTTTAACCCCGTTATGTTCTATTTGGAATATTTGTTTCCAGTTTAGACATTATTCACGATATCACCATATTTTCATGCTTTGCATTTTTACGGTTGACGGTCAGTTGGTTAACTCTTTCAAAGCGAGAAAACAATTTTACTCATGGCAAATGTACAATTCCAGAATTGATAAGTTTTACTGATATCTCATTACATTGCTTGCTATGAGGACATCTGTGTTCGCTATTGCGTCCAAAAAAGTAACAACGATCACGTCACCCATACGTTTCCATTATGTCGTAAAGATAAAAAGTTCTGTTGTCTAGAATAAAATAAACGTGACTGCCATTTCTTGTATTGGCAGATTTATCACTTGTTTGTCCCCAGAGAAACCACGTGACATCGCTTCTATCCCATCGGGCCTTTAGCAAATGCAAGGATGGCGGGTATCGTGAATAAGGTCTAAGTGGTGCACTTGTAAAGTTAAGCTGAAAAGCTAAATGCAGTTCCACTGCACAAGTTGTTAACTTTGCTTTACGTTTTACGCCCTTCCTTCATAGCCTTGGACGTCAACAACTGCACGTCAATAGTTCCAAAAGTCTCACTTTCAAAACGATTTTAATTGCAAAACCATTCAATTTATTTCAATGGGGATAAAAAATCATTTTCATATCACTGGATATGCACCTCGCTAATAAAACAGCCTAAGGGCAACTCGGAAATGGTCCTATTGCTTCCTTTCTTTAACAACAAAAAAGCTCTTTGCTCATATTATTAAAATTCTATTTTAAGGAAAAACTCTCCACCGCAATGGATGATGACGGGTTTTCTCTAATGGACAGGAATTCTCCTGCTTTTTGCGCCCTTGTTACTTCATTGATAATCTTCTTGGGAGCACTGATCGCAGCAATCCGCCTCTGTGAACTGCTTTTCTATCTATACCAGAGATTTGTAAAGAAGAAAAAAAGTGAAGGAATAGAAGGTGGCTAATATCTTATCATGTCTCTCCTTTTCTAATACTTCTTCGATTTTTTTTTTTGCTACTTTTAATTTAGAGCAAAACTCCGCTGAGTTCAGTCTAGGCCTCCCACAGCCCCACCCAGCCCCCACCCCCGACGCCTTCAATACCACCACTTATGTACCTTCTAAGATATTGATGCTCAATAAAACCCGATTTGGAGCGAGGTCGCCAAAAAAACTTACTCAAGAAACGACAGAATCAGAATTGGAATCGCAAGCGGAGTCGTAAGAGCGCTTATGACCTTGTGAAAATCTAAAATTGGAGTCGTAAGCAGAGTCACAAGCGGGACCGAATGGGAGTCGGACGAATCGGTACGTTTTCATTTTCTTCCGATTCCGCTTACAACTCCGTCCTTTACTATCTAGTGAAAACCAGATTGTCGGAGTCGGAGGCAGAAGCGGAAGAATAAACCAATCACGACGCTAATTCCAACCCTTTGTGATTAGTTTAGATCTTCCGCTTCTGTTTGCAACTCCGACAGCCTAATTTTCACTCGATCGTAAACGACGACGTCGTACGCATCAGGAAGCTGTTTTCACTGGATCGTTAACTGGATCGTTAACTTCTGATTTCGACTCCGACACCGACTCCGTCGCTAGTGAAAACCTGCCTTAAATGCCCTTTCAGTTATCAAACAAAAATGTAGTCTGGCTGAGCTCATGACTAGATACGTGTCCTTATATGTTATACCTAAAGGGATAAAATAAAAATTTGTGAGGTAGAACGGATAAGCAGGACTAAACCGCTAACAATATGTATGAATTTTGATTCATTCACAGATAATGTCCAGCTCTCGTGCAGCCACTGCAAAGCTCCACCAAAGATGAGTTGCTGGAAAATTCATAAAGAGAAGACAAAACAGAGCCATGGAAACTTCCAATCACATAACGACACTCGAGTTCAAGATCCTTTGCCCTCCATCATTTGAGTTCTCAATTCTTAACTTGAAACTTAACTAAAATTTATTTCAATTAGGTTCCAGTATAGGTGGGGGAGGAGGAGGGCGTTACCTTTAAAGATGCTTCAGCTATATAAAAATAAACCTTCGTACTCTAGCGAGAAACAGCAGGAACAATGGCAATATTCTAAAAGATATAATGGTGGCAGTCGCCTCAGCAGGCTTTTTTATTAGATGTCAAAACCTGACGAAACTCCCAAGCAATTCCAGGGTATAGTTTTAAACAAGACCAAATAATTCAGCAAGTAAGCACACACTACCAACTCCGCGGTATGGCCATGCAGTACCTTGAGCCTGTACACAGCCATATCATTGGGATTTGGCAGCCATTCACTGCTGCTTCGTCCTTATTAGGACTTATCAGCATGCCGTTGCCCAAGGTAAAGGGTCTCACTAGGTGATCTCTGACCCCCTCGTTTACTGTCGAAGAGAGTGCGAAAATGCACTCCATGGACATCAAGTTTCTCCATCTAACAACTGATATCAATACATAATCAAGTAGAAAGGTTACCCTAAGAATTTATAAAATAACACCAAAAAGATAATGCTTTGATCTTTTAACAAGTTCTCTCCACTAGTTTTTTACGGAAATGCATTGAGATCAGACCTGCGAATTTGTATATGTATATTGGGACTTAAAGGGCTTTAAGTTGCCAGCCTTCCGTGGCTGCAACTACGATCTGTACCCGGATGATGTGGCTGTGCCCATGCTTTACATGTGTGTGTTTCCTTCACTTAATTTGGTCCTATAGTTGTAAAGTAGTTTGCTTTCCAAAATGAATCTATGTCAGGATAACGATCGCTAAGCGCTTCTGGGAAATAGATAATCAAACTGTAAGTGGTGCCCGTCTTGCATTGTAAGGCGCAAAGAGAATTATGTAATACGATTAAAAAAATGTTAAATTTGACTGTTTATAGCGTTGCAATAATCGCGAGAGAATTACATAAATGGAGAAAACAAAACGTAGCAAAATCGTATGAAAATAACATAAAATCGCAACTACAAACTCTCCGTAACCGAAATAATTTGAGGAAGTAAATTCCTCTATTCCTTTCTCCTAATATCTTCCTTTTGTTTAATGATTTTTTCAAGTTCGTACAAAAGAAACATTCAGTCTAGGAAAGCTCAGATATAACTTGCATCTTCTCGTATTTCTGATTCTTTTAGGTGAAAATTGTAATGGCTTTTCCGTTTGAATAAAACCTTAACGAATAAAATTTAAACTCGGTGTCCTACTGACCACTTTTTTGAACGTACGTTTTCCACTTTCTTACGTTTCTTAAAACAAAGTGAGGTGTTTACAAGACAGAGGCAAAGATGAGCGACTATACTTTCCTCTGCAATGGCCAGGTCACGCAATATCCAAACTGGCTTCAAAGGGCTGATGCCGTTCGTCCAAAAGAGTGGTTCAAAAACGTAGTCAGGCAAATGATTTCTTTAGACGCTTTAATTTTCTTGTTTGTGTTAACTAATATCCACCCCAGATGATTTTCAGCCACTCGCGTATACAGGCTTGCGCTCTCAAAAAGTCCTTATCTTTTTTCACTGCGAATAAAGAACTGTCAAAAAGAAACTTGCGGAACTAAACTTAAGCAAACAATCACTTCGAACTGAAATTCTCTATGTGATCTATCAATGAAATGTGCAACGAACGAGGAAGTCCACTTGATTTTCTATTCAAATTTAGATTTCAGTAAAAAGTAATTACATCATCTGCCCCTGAGAAATATCAGCAGATAATCAGACAAGTGGTCTCAGACATTGGTGGTGTCCAGAATATTGCAGATGACATGGTGACAACAATGAGGAGCATGACCGGAATCTATATAGATTGATACGGAGATTAGCAGAGAAGAACCTCACCCTCAACCTTGAAAAATGCAAATTCAGAATGGACAAGGTAGTCTTTATGGGGCTGTTAGTTTCAAAGTATGGCGTCGGCCCAGCAGAAGAGGAGGTACGTGCAGTGCTGGAGGCAAATCACCCATCTACTCTAACGGAAGTGAGAAGCTTCCTTGGTATGGTTGGCTTTAGTGCAAGATTTATTCCTAATCTTGCAACCGTCTCCGAGCCTCTACGAGCAATTTCGAGGAAGGGGGCACCCTTTGTTTGGAGCAGTGAGCAGGATAAATCCTTTCAGGAACTGAAAAAGCAATTAGCTAGTACGCCTGTGCTAGCTTATTTTGACAAAGATGCACACACGCGAGTGATAGACGATGCAAGTCCCGTGGAGTTAGGCGCTGTTCTGGTCCAGGACAAGAATGGAGAGAGCCGAGTCGTTTGTTACGCCAGCAGAAGCCTCAGCAGTGTCGAAAGGAGGTACGGCCAAACTGAAAAGGAGGCACTAGCTCCCGTGTGGGCCTGTGAACGTTTTAACCTTTACCTGCTTGGGTTACCAACCTTTGATTTAGTCACGGACCACGAAGCATTGAAAGTGGTCTACTCGAGAGGATCCAAACCATTTGCACGCATCGAGCGCTGGGTGCTAAGACTGCAACCATACAGTTACAAGGTATGCTGTGTCAAGTCCCAAGACAACATTGCAGATGCCCTATCACGTCTGACGAAGATCCGCGCTGCAGAGATGTGATGATGAGCACGTTCGAATGGTTGCTCTCAGTGCCGTACCTATAGCCCTAAAGATTCAGGAGATTGAGAGTGCCTTAGCTGAGGATGAGGATTTGCAAGCAGTGCGAAGTTATCTTATAAGTGGGAACTGGGAGAAAACTCCAAAGCCATATGTGTGGGTACGTAGTGAACTTACCTATATTTGCCAAGTCATCCTTCGTGGAACTAGAATCGTGATTCCTAACATTTTGAGGAAGAGGGTCTTAGAACTTGCACATGAGGGACGCCAGGGGGTGGTGAAGATGAAGGAGCGCCTGACATCTAAGGTGTGGTGCCCAGGTGTTGATAAAGATGCAGAACGAAAGTGCCGAGAGTGTTATGGGTGCCAGCTTGTGACAAAGGAGACAGTGCCTTCACCAGTGAAGACAACCAGGATGCCTTAGAGACCGTGAAAGGACCTAGCATTGGACTTACTGGGCCCTATGCCAACAGGAGAGTCTCTGCTGGTCCAAGTGGATTATTTTAGCCGATGGGTGGAAGTTGACGTCATTAAGTCCACCAGTTCAGAAGCGATAACTAAGTGCTTAGACAGACAGTTCTCTAGATATGGAGTACCGAGTACCTTGAGATCGGACAACAGACCCAACCTCGTGTCTGCTGAAATGGAGGAGTATATGGATGAGATGGGCATTAAGCACAGGTTGACCACCCCACTATGGCCTAGAGCAAATGCAGAGGTCGAACGGTAAAATCGTTCTCTTTTGAAAGCAATGAGAGTTGCGCATGCTGAGTTCCTCCTGGCATACCCGCGGGAAGTCCGGGGTCATGTGACGCGTTGTAGTAGTATTTTTGTAGTGTAGAGGCGAAGGAAGTAGTGCTCGTGTTTGACTAGACTATTAGCTTCGGTGGGCCATTAGCAATACTACAGTGAGGATATCGGTCATCTAAAACCTGAAAAATGAAAATCCTTTCTACCCATCAGTACCAGTCACCCACGAGGGACTGCCTACTTTTGAAACTTCATATTTATACCCCCTCCCCCGCGTGCTTTTCCAACGAGCAGGAACCTAGCCCGCCCAGTGAATGTGATAATAATCCAATCATCATTTTTGTTTCGCTTTATCACTTGCTCCTCTATGACGTTTTGCCTTGCTCATCCGCGAGAAGGAAACATTCCCGAAGTCGAAATAAATACATACAGATAGATCCTATGTGTTGACTCACTCTTCTGCGCCCACTTGGTGAATGTAGGCTGTTTGCTGTAAAGAATAGGGTTCTTGTGTTAGTGACTCTTCTCTCACTCGTAGCCTTGGTTAGCAATTATCATCCACCCGGCATTACCGGAACAGCCCCCATAGTTCCGGTTGATGAAGAAGTGCCGGTTGTAGTTTGGCTCTCCAGGAATGGAAAAGTAGTTCTTTTACTGTGTTTTTATATCTGCCACCGTAGTCTATCTAGTTTCGGGAAAGCATTCCCTTCGGTCACAATGATCTTTCTCACGTGATGTCGAGTAAAGAGTTTTTATTGCGCTTTCTCATGTAACAGTATTCCCCAGTGAACATGATGCGAAAACAAGGTGGTTTACTGGAAGCTGGCGCATTATTAAGCTCAGCGTTCAAAACTTATCCACAATAGACAACTAACAGGGGAAGTATCAATTAGTGATTACCATTAGATGTAAAGACATCTTCGATTCAGCCCATAAGGTCTGTCAAGTTAACCTCTCAAACGTAAAGATTGCGGAAATAACGGCAAACGAGGATCTGACGAAAACATGTCTCTAAAAGAGATCGAATGGAATCATGGAAAGTGGAGAATACTTGGAAGTTGGCTGGGAAGCTGAGTGTAAAATCGCATTCATGATGAGGCTGAATCACGAAAAACGACTTCCTTATCTCTCTCCCCAGTTATCCTAAAGAAAAAAGAATATAAAGAGAATATAAAAAGAACGATTAAGTTGAAAAATTTCCTTTTCCAGTCGAAAAGCAAAACAGTAGTTGCCGAGATCAATAGGTGATCATTATACTGCTATTTCGAGAAAGGTTGTCGGAAAAAGTGCACGCGACAGAGGTATTGTGGGAGGTTTTTTAAAAGTTCACTGTTCTTCAAAGAAATTTGAAAGAATGGCAGAAGAGGCCATGGGAGTATGTTTGCGAGTGCTAAAGGAAAGCAACAAAAGTAGGTTCGACAGCTACAGTGTCAGGAACAGTGTATTGATCATATCCCATATTACCTTTCGGGATTGCCGCGTGCACACTTTTTCCGACAACCTTTCTCGAAATAGCTGTATATAAATTGGTCAGGTTCACGAGCATAATGCATTCAGTTAATATTATTCACTTTTTTAGTATTCTCCTGGCAAAAGTCTCTAACGAGCAAATTAATGTATTCTTGTGTAGGAAAATGGAAGTATTTTTCCTTAATAGGCGATTACTATAAACGAGGTTTTTATTTAAGGTAATTCCCTTGAAAAGAAAGTACTATCCAGGGATTTTTTCTTCAACTCCGCACAATTGACGGTCACATATGAGAACTAAAACTGCAATATTAAAAGGTGGTGTAACCGTGCTTGTTTTTGCCCTACTTAACCGTTATTTTAAGTCTTTTCTACTAAGTTGCTCGCAAAGTTCGAAACTCATGAAAACCACTGCAAACGTCAAATACTTGTTATTATAGAAGAAAAACTACGAATACTATTGAAACTTCGAGCCTGTTTGTTTGTCTGGACAATAATCTTTCAGCAGTAAAGTTATTTCCAACTGCCTGACCATGCAAATAATGTAAGAAAATTAGAATTGATCTGCGTCTTTATCTCATACTCCGGTTCTGTGGCTTCATATGCAGGGTCTCACGTCATTCACATAAAATAATACAACTTCTACTATAATATATTTTTCTGCTTGAAATAGGTTTTCAAATAGGACTATTTTTCGTTGTCAATGAATCAGTAATAGTTACTTGATTAAAGAGTGACCGAAAGAAGGTCAGAGCGTTTGATATAAATATGATATGGCAATACATTATTGAAAGTCAGTGAAACCTAAGGTGTTACTAAATTCTCTTTGGACTGAGCACTAAAGTACAAATACTAACCGACTTATAATAAACATAATAAGTGGCTTCAAAATTTCAAAGTTAACAAAAACTGTTTACTTAGATAATTAAAAGTTCTGTGCTGCTGTTGTAGTGTACGCCGTGTGAGTCGGAGAGTGCATGAGAACGAGTAGTAAAATTAATGTTCTTTGTTGTTCTAATCTGATTCAACCCGCTTCTTGAATGTGTATGTTTGGACTTTACAGCTGTTATTTGTAACTATTATACATTGTTCTCTCTAGCGGTCTTTTCATTGGCTAAAAGCCTACAGACTAGTTATTTGCTAGCAGATATCTGACTAAGTAAGTTGCGCGCGCCGTGCATTAGTAAAACAAAAGAATTGTATAATTCGTTCCCGAACCCAAAGATAGTTGCTTTTCCCCAAGCCTTGGGGCCAAATATGAATTTTAGTATACTGAAATTGGTCTATTTTAAGGTTTCATATTTTTTAATAAGGAGGTAAAGGAAGCAAAACAAAGCAGTGCCAACAGTAAAAACCTCCCGAATTAAAGAACCTGTATTTTCCCATCGATTTTCCCAAGTTATAATTAGCCTAAATAGGTTCTTACATAAACGGTAATAAGCACAAACCCGTCAGAAAGCCACTTGACTGGCTTTCTGACGGGTTGATTAGGCAAAATGGAAAGCATCCGCGAACGGGGTTTTAACAAACAGTTCAGGAAGTGCTTTCAGCTTATCAACGTGCTCTTAGCAATAAAACGTATAAAGAAGTTTTCATAGTCAAATTAGTTTTAACCATGTTGGAAACCCTCAGGCATAATGGAAAACTAAAAAGTCTATAATGCAATGGTATAAATTACGTTTACCTTAATCAGCATCTGATTAAGAAGCTTATTCGTGATGAAAGCTTCAGCATCATTATTTAGGGTCCGTCTTTACTTGGGTACTTCAACTAACTACAAACTTGTGGTATGTGAGAAATCCAGGGGTGAGATGAGTTCTTGTCTGTATTCTTAGTTTTTTATCATAGATTTTGTCTGCACGGCGATAGGAGAATTTTTATAAGTTCTTAAACGTGTAAAAATTTTATGACGCACCATTTTGCTTCTCGAGTCACGAGTAATAAAATAAATGTCAAAACTATACATAACAATCAAAGAAGTGCGTTTGGCACGTGATGTGACCATGTTATCATCCAGAAGAAAAACGTTTGGTTTTCCATCCTTAATTTCTCTTTCTAAAATCATTTTGTTTGAGACAGTAACATTATCAAACATTCACGACTCAGTATTTAATTATAATCACAAGATCTAACAAACATCTCTGTCAGCTCTTTTCTTAATATTGTGATAAGACACTGTGGGTTTAAAATGCTGGGCATATTACTTCCCGATTATTTCTGCATTATGAATAAATGTTAGGAAGCTCAGTATTAAATTCTAAATTGAAAGTCATTTGCATTTTAGCTCTCTGCTGGACCCGACCAGGTGGTGCCGGCTAGGAATGACTTAGTCACGTTCTTAGGAGTAGATGGCTAATAAACAGCTGCAGTAATATGAAAACCAGCCCCATTCTCCAAAGTTTATGTATGTACGTGTATGTGAATTTGTAATTAACAGCAGATGTCGCTTCAGAACATTGCTCGGTCTTTAAACAATCAAAGATACTGAATTTTTGAAAATGATTTCCCATCCTGAGTTTGTTGTTATTGCCTTTGCTTTTCGCTTTTTACTTGTCTGCTCAGCTGTCTGCTTGGTGCAAAGAAAAGGAGAATTGAATTACTTGATGATCAACATTTTGGAATTGAACCAAAGTAGCTCCGACGAAAACGATTTGTCTTTCTCTCCATCGAACACATCGAAAAATGGTACCATTTGTCCTACGACAAACCTGACAACCAACAACACTCAAGATCCTAACACGATGGTGCCAACATCCCCTGGTGAAAACGTATCGACCTTTTCCACGGAAGCGCCGGTTCAAGCAGCTTATTGCGGCTATCTTTGCTCCCGAGTAATCAGCATAACATGGCTGTCATTTGCTCCTTTTATTTTTCAAAACAACAAGAACAACACGACACAAACTGAAAAGTTAGACGGAAACGTCACCGGTGTATTCTACAGTATAGTAGGGCGCGCTGTTCAGTTTTGTTGCAAACATTTTGGCAACAGGGGGACACGCTTGGAATATACCCACAAAGCGGAAAACTTAAATACGTTACATGCTAATATCTTTTATGATAAAGCTTCTATAGCAATGCCAGTATACATTGAAAATGAGATTTTTGACCAGCACTATGGAGGTACATTGGCATTTATCAAAGTCCTTGAATCTCCCGGGTTGGTTGTTATTGGAAACAAAGATGATGACAAACAGAATGATTTGAAGGTTCTATGGAAAACCATTTACAACCAGTGGCCCATTGTGCTCATCTCAGTGTTGTTATGCGCAATCTCTGGTATTTGTGTCTGGGTGCTGGTAAGTATTATGGCGCTTTTTGGGGAAAATCGAAATCTGCCGGGTTGGAATAGATACAGGGTGTTTACTACCCGGGTCGGGGGTACTCCCATACATTACCTATACGGGTATGTGCCGCCCAACGGGGTCATGATTTCGAAGCTCCTGATTTAGAACGGGGTATAATATTTCGAAAGCACGAAAGCTCCAGTTTTGTAAGCAGCCATTTGAAATTATTCAAGGACGATTGCTTTTAAAAATACGGTTTAATGCGTTAACAAGCAAACTGTTGTACTCTTGTTGTACCCTAGAACGGAGTTGGCCCATTTCTAGAACGGGGTATAAAAAATTGGTCCACTTCTAGAACGGGGTATCAATTTTAGGGGGAATTTTTTTTAGAACGGGGTGCCAATTTGGAGTCACGGGCGGCACATACCCACCCAAAAAAAACCCAAGTGCCCCCCCCCCGGGGGGGTTACTATTTGCATTGGCAAACCGGTCGGTTCACGGTTTGGGCAAATGGTGAGCAACATTCAAGACTAGTAAATTTCGTCCAGGAATCGCGTTTACCATTTCAATGTACAAATCAGTTCCCTTTACCGAAAAATGACCGCAAAGGCCTGAACATGGTATCAAAGATGTTTTGAAGAAACGGAACACGAACTTCCTTTTGCAACAATCCTACCGGGAAAAACAGTTCTACCTTTTCAGACGTTATGTTGCTCTAGGAAAATTTCCACCTAAACGACCCGGGAAATCGTGTTTCATTTACTTTCCTACCGCGGTTCAAAGGAAACGTCTTGTAAATGATAAACAACCACATTTGCTTAAAAAAAGTATATCATGATTTTCAGCCCTATTTATAACCTGAGTAAACGTTAGTCAAGATCCACTACAACGAAATGGAGTAAGTTTGTAAACGGAAACTGTGTTGTCGGCAGAGGAATTGATGAAGCACTCAAAACTGAATTGATAACGTGGCAAGATTGACCACCTTAAATTATGCATAATATAATATTTGGCTCCTAGGGGCACTTCCTTATTTGGCTTAAACGTACATGTGCACCAGAGTCTTGTCTTAAACAGGGTATACAATGCTGCAGGGTGTGATCCTTGCTGCTGCGTGATCGACATTGTGGTGTGACCGGTTTTTATAATCAAAAAACTTACTGACTCCAAATTTAAAGCGACAAACGTTCTTGAACAAAGTCCTATATTTAGGCCACGAAAAAGGGTCTCTTTTCTTAAATTAAACTGGGTAACAAAATGAAGGGTTATGGCATGGTTTGATGGCTTCAGTGGCACAGCCCCTACACAAACTACCCTTCAGTGGTTTCCAGCCCTGGGTTTGTAGACCTCTAGCTCTGACGAAGCCACTGTTTGAATACCTGTGGCCCGTTTAGCGTATCAAGGTACATGATGTAAACACATTGTGGTGTAAACGTACAAGCGAACTGGCGTGTTTACAACCAACCAAGCATATCCAGTTGAATTTGTCAAGTGCAAAGGCTAAATAGATAATCCTTTAATTTTTGTTTTATTTAACAGGATACAATATGGAATACAGATGAATTCCCTCGTCGTTTTCATCGTGGGGCATTTGAAGGTTTCTGGTGGGCCTTCGTTACCATGTCAACAGTTGGGTAAGTGAATCAAAATTCAACTGCACCATCACTAATAAAAGCAAATTTAGGCAATGCACTTCCACACGAATCCGGTTTCTCTTAAAACTGCATTATTGGTATTTGCACTGAACACCAATATTTGTTGTGGTGTATCCGGTTTGGATTCACCCATCCGTAGAAATACGCCAACCTCGACCCAGGGCGCTTTTCCCTGGCTCTGGAGGTGTGCCCGCCCTACCTCCAAAGCCAGGAAAAAGCGCCCTGGGGACGAGGTTGGGAATACGCTACTGCGATTTACATCATTTTGCTAATTACTAGCTACTAGGCATACGCAAAAACCGAACTCGCGATGTGATTTCGCGGCATTTTTGAGTTTATTTAGTACTTGACTTCAAAAATATCCGGTCCGCAGTCGTCCACACGAAATCACCAAACGCTTCGGATGAGAAAAAAAAAATCCACTCTGGAGAACAGTTTCAAACACATGCGGTTTCGATATGCAGACAGCTGATTCGTTTAAAAGAAGTACGTGGTTTTAAAAGTATCCGCATATAAAGTGCTTTATGCATAAAAGTGACTGGAAAGAATAAGAAATCTTCAATGTCAGCCTAACGCTTAGTGCTTGGAGGTTTCTTGTGCAAAAATGATACCCCTTTGCATTCTTTGCATGCTACGTGCTTGCCAGTTAACTCAACGAAGTTCGTATATATTTTACGAGCCATAATTTGCATACAGCAAATTCTATATGGTGGTTAGTTGACAACTGGTTAATTAACTAGCAACAGAGATCAATTTAATAAAACTTTTACACCTGTAATTTACAACAAATTACCCCATTTTTGACCAAATCTTCCTTTTTGAACCGTTTTCCGGCCAGTTAGCATGGGAATAGCTAAAAAAAGAGGTTTGAAACACTAAAGACATAATTTTCTGCTAATTGGATGTAAGCAGCTTTTTTGTTTTTCGCGCATGCGCATAAGCCAAAATTTGGCGAATCTATTTCGATCTATTTCCTCTTTGCCTTTATTTTTATGGCCATTTTTGTTGCCCACTTTATCGTCTTTCTTAATTTCGCATGAAAGTTTGGCTGGCTTACTTTCCAATAAAGGGGCAAGTTTAATCTGCAAAGAATTTTGGGTAAATAGCAAAATTGGCAGTGGATTATTTCCCCAAATGTTGCTTAAAATGTAAACGTAAAATGTGTTCTGTCAGGATTGGCCAAAATTTTCTAAATGAGGCACCAGTACAAAGTTCTATCCTCGCTAATTGTGCTCATTACCATCGTATTCACAGCTTAAATAGAAAGCTTTTTGGATACAGGAAAGATAATATGCATCAGTTCATATGGAACAAAACGACCAAAGCGGACGTTAAAGAGCCGTCAGTTGAGAATGAAAAAATGTAGTAACGAGAAGCGATTTCTTGCTCAACTTGAGTGTGGTATTTTTGAAAAACAACTGTCATTTACTTTTGCTCAATTCAAAGTGAGGTTTTCATGGGCTTAGCGCATTAATAGTCATGTTAGGATGAAAATGGATAATGATGACGAATTTTAATCCTTGATGTTTCCAGCTGGTTTTTATTTTTTATAGTTTTTATTCGACGTTATTTCGTTCGGTACCTTCATAAGGACCTTTGTAGTTTATCTTACAGTGTATTTTTCAAGCATTCTCTGAAAGAAAGGTGCCTTTAAAAGGGTTTTCACACACATCGTCACACAGTGCTCTCGTTTTCCCCATTACGTCCCTCTTATCGGCGCTTCGACGTCCCACTACTACAACTGTACAGACTTTATCTGAGAGCGGCATTGAGACCTATTGAAAAATAATCTCTTCTTGTTTTAAGGTACGGAGATAAAGCTCCTAAGTCAGTTATTGCTCGATTATTCTCTATCGTGTGGATCATGGTTGGACTTACCCTGTGTTCAGTTTTGACAGCTACTTTTACCACAGCACTTGCCACAGCACCTGTCAAAGATGTAGACCTGGTGGGAAAGAAGGTATAATATTCATTATCAAAAATTACTCGGATGTTTCCTTCCTTTGCTATTTTCATTGATTACAATTATCGTTTGCACATTTATGAGCTTAGTAGTCGGTGAAATGGGCATTAAAGGTTTGTGGACTCTGTGGGATGGAGGCTACCTGTAAGAATAGCAAAGTAGTTTTTAGAACTTTAAAGAACATATCGATAAACGCCAGAAAAAGGGACAGCCTCCGAGGGCCCCTGAAGACGAGGTTGCATTGTTTTGGTAGAACAGTAGAAAATGGCGGAAACCTAAAACGATTATCGGATTGCGCTTAAGTGTGATCTGAAGAAATGTGATGCAGATCTCGGAGGGTGTTATCCGCTTTGACTGATAACTCTCTCCTAAAAATTATCTGCTATATTCCTTCAGATCACAGTACTCAGCCTCATGCAATAATTACTAAGGGCGCTTTCCATTTGTCAGAACTGACCGACCAGACCATTCCCGTCGCAATGATAATTTCCCTTTTAATCAAAACTCTCCGGCCAGATCTACGTAGACCTGTCAAATCATGAATAGCATGCGCGAAGGAGATGGTTTTTCAGCAAAGACTCTTGGAAAAAGCCTATTTCATTTTCAAACTGACCAGTCGGGCAATGATTCGGCCCGCCAGTTCTGACAAATGGAAAGCGCCCTAAGTGATATGTTGCGTTCTCTTGATTGTCCATACTGCAGATTGCTGTGTTGAAAGGAAATCCAGCATTCCAAGAAGTTATCAAACAGGGAGCAAGCCCAACACGTAAGATTAACATGACTAGCTCTGCTGGTCGTATACACGTGTTTAATTATTAACGAGAGTTCATTTATTCCGTTCCCGCTTACGGGATCAGCACTGAAGGGAAAAGAATCCCGTGTCTTGCTCTATTTACTATAGCTTTTTCACCATTAATTTTATACTTGTGTAGCACATCACAGCTTTCTTTAGTCTAAACACCGGTTTGAACTTGAATTTGGAAATCATGGTTTTGCAAATGTTATGTCGCATATTTTTTAAATTAAAAAAGGTACTCCGTTGAAATGATTCGCTTGGTTTTCTTGAACAGAACGTAGCTCAGCCGTAAAGTTCTAGTTCATAGTTGTAACCGGTTCCTGTGGGTCACGTGCTGGCAACCCAGTTCATTCTGATGTAACATGCGACTAGTTCCCTTGATGTTATGTGGGTATTCTCTCAAATCCAGCAAAAAATTTATGCTTGAGGTTCCAAGCGGCAAGAGCTCTCAAGTATTGAAACTGCACATTTAATCATGTGCCATGGGAAGTTGCGCAATATACAAGTTTTAATTAATTGTAAATTGTAGTTCCTGCGCGTTGGGGAACTTAAAATTCATCTCTCTTAACGAGATTGTTTGTCATCATGCTTCGTTTATTTTTTCAGCTTTTGACAACTTTGAAGACATGCAAAAAGCTCTCCTAAATAAGACTGTGACAGGTATAATGGATGAGGTGTACCATGGACTTTACTGGATGCAACAAGCTAGAGATTCAAGACTGTATGTGGTTAAGAGGATTGAGAGAACACGTTCTTATGGCTTCGCATTCAAGAAAAACGCAATTAAATGGCCGGTTGAGGACTGCATTCGAAAACTCATTTTGTATCGCGGAGAGGATGTCTACTCTGTTATGACACAGTTCAAGGATGAAATGAAGGTAATTAGGTTTAATCAATGGAAGTAATTGACTGAGCTTCTTACCCTAACTTCTAACTATTGCTCATTGACACCAAAGCAATATCCAATAAAACAACGGGATAACTACGACATATTATGGGTTGGGGCGTGACCTAGTGGTCAGGGGGTCGGATCTGCAATCCGGCGGTTTCGGGTTCGAGTTCCCTACGGTAACTGGCTGGATTTGTTCAATCACGGCTGTTCAGTACTCAAATCCTCTACCACGCTTGTTAATATACCTCCTGCTAGTTTGGTTTAACCCTGTAATGTTCTATTTGGAATATTTGTTTCTATTAGACATCATCCACGATATCACCATATTTTCGGGCATGCTTTACATTTTTACGGTTTACGGTCAGTTGGTTAACTCTTTCAAAACGAGAAAAAAATTTTACTCATGCCAAATGTACAATTCCAGAATTGACAAGTTTTACTGATATCTCATTATATTGTTTGCTATGAGGACATCTGCGGTCGCTATTGCGTCCAAAAAAGTAACAACGATCACTTCACCCATACGTTGCCATTATCTCTTTAAGATAAAAAGTTCTGTTGTCTAGAATAAAATAAACGTGACTGCGATTTCTTGTATTGGCAGATTTACCACTTGTTTGTCCCCTGAGAAACCACATGACATCGCTTCTATCCCATCAGTCCTTTAGCAAATGCAAGGATGGCGGGTATCGTGAATAAGGTCTAAGTGGTGCACTTGTAAACTTAAGCTGAAAAGCTAAGTGCAGTTCCAAGTCCTTAACTTTGCCTTACGTTTTACGCCCTTCCTTTATAGCCTTGGACGTCAACAACTGCACGTCAATACTTCCAAAAATCTCACTTTCAAAACGAATCTAATTGCAAAACCATTCAATTTATTTCAATGGGGATAAAAAATCATTTTCATATCACTGGATATGCACTTGTCCTCGCTAATAAAACAGGCTAAGGGCAACTCGGAAATGGTCCAATTACTTCCTCTCTTTAACAACAAGTAAGCTATTTGCTCATATTATTAAAATTCTATTTTAAGGACAAACTCTCCACCGGAATGGATGATGACGGGTTTTTCCTAATGGACAGGAATTCTCCTGCTTTTTGCGCCCTTGTTACTTCATTAATAATCTTCTTGGGAGCACTGATCGCAGCAATCCACCTCTGTGAACAGCTTTTGCATCTATACCAGAGATTTGTAAAGAAGAAAAATAGTGAAGGAATAAAAGGTGGCTAATATTTTATCATGTCTCTCCTTTTCTAATGTTTCTTCGATTTTTTTCTACTTTTAATTTAAAGCAAAACTCCACTGAGCTCAGTCTAGGCCTCCCCTAACCCCACCCAGCCTCCCCCCCTCCCCGACGCCTTCAATACCACCACTTATGTACCTTCTAAGATACTGATGCTCAATAAAACTCGATTTGCTGCGAGGTCGCCAAAAAAACTTACTCAAGAAACGACAGAATCGGAATCGGAATCGCAAGCGAGGTCGTAAGAGCGCTTATGACCTTGTGAAAATCAGTAATTGGAGTCGTAAGCAGACTCAGTCACAAGCAGGACGGAATCGGAGTCGAAAGAATCAGTACGTTTTCATTTTCTTCCGATTCCGCTTGCGACACCGTCCTTTACTATCTAATGAAAACCAGATTGTCGGAGTCGGAGGCAGAAGCGGAAGAATAAACCAGTCACGAGGCTAATTCCCACCCTTTGTGATTAGTTTAGTTCTTCCGCTTCTGTTTGCAACTCCGACAGCCTAATTTTCACTCGATCGTAAACGACGACGTCGTACGCATCAGGAAGCTGTTTTCACTAGATCGTTAACTCCAACGCTTCTGATTTCGACTCCGACACCGACTCCGTCGCTAGGGAAAACCTGCCTTAAATGCTCTTTCAGTTATCAAACAAAAATGTAATTTGGCTGAGCTCATGACTAGATACGTGTCCTTATATGTTATACCTAAAGGCATAAAATAAAAACTTGTGACGTAGAACGGACAAGCAGGACTAAACTGCTAACAATATGTATGAATTTTGATTTATCGCAGATAATGTCCAGCCCTCGTTCAGCCACTGCAACGCTCCACCAAAGATGAGTTGGTGGAAAATTCATAAAGAGAAGACAATACAGAGCCATGGAAACTTCCAATCACATAACGACACTCGAGTTCAAGATCCTTTGCCCTCCATCATTTGAGTTCTCAATTCTTAGCTTAGAACTTAACTAAAATTTATTTCAATTAAGTCCGGGGGGAGGGGAGCGTTACCTTTAAAGATGCTTCAGCTATATAAAAATAAACCTTCGTACTCTAGCGAGAAACAGCAGGAACAATGGCAATATTCCAAAAGATATAATGGTGGCAGTCGCCCCAGCAGGCTTTTGGATTAGATGCCAAAACCTGACGAAACTCCCAAGCAATTCCAGGATATAGTTTTAAACAAGACCAAATAATTCAGCAAGTAAGCACACACTACCAACTCCGTGGTATGGCCATGCAGTACCTTGAGCCTGTACACAGCCATATCATTGGCATTTGGCAGCCATTCACAGCTGCTTCGTCCTTACTAGGACTTATCAGCATGCCGTTGCGCTGCCCCAGGTAAAGGGTCTCACTAGGTGATCCCTGACCCCTTCGTTTACTGCCGAAGAGAGTGCGAAAATGCACTCCATGGACAACAAATTTCTCCATCTAACAACTGATATCAATACATAATCAAGTAGAAAGGTTACCGTAAGAATTTATAAAATAACACCAAAAAGATAATGCTTTGATCTTTTGGCAAATTCTCTCCACTAATTTTTCAAGGAAATTCTTTGAGATCAGACCTGAGAATTTGTATGTGTATATTGGGACTTAAAGGGCTTTAAGTTGCCAGCCTTCCATGGCTGCAACTACAATCTGTACCCGGATGATGTGGCTGTGCGCATGCTTGACATGTGTGTGTTTCCTTCACTTAATTTGGTCCTATAGTTGTAAAGTAGTTTGCTTTCCAAAACGAATCTGTGACAGGGTAACGATCGCTAAGCGCTTCTGGGAAATAGACAATCAAACTTTAGGTGGTGCCCGTCTTACATTGTAAGGCGCAAAGAGAATTATGCAATACAATAAAGAAAAAACTCTTAATTTGACTGTTTATAGCGTTGCAATAGTCGCGAGAGAATTACATAGATGGAGAAAAAAACGTAACAAACTCTCCGTAACCGAGATAATTTGGGGAAGTAAATTCCTCTATTCCTTTCTCATAGTATCTTCCTTTTGTTTAATGATTTTTTCAAGTTCATACAAAAAGAAACATTCATTCTAGGAAAGCTCAGATATAACTTGCATCTTCTCGTATTTCTGATTCTTTTAGGTGAAAATTGTAATCGCTTTTCCGTTTGAATAAAACCTTGAGGAATAAAATGTAAACTCTGTGTCCAACTGACCACTTTTTTCAACATAAGTTTTCCACTTTCTTACGTTTCTTAAAACAAAGTGAGGCGTTTACAAGACAGAGGCAAACATGAGCGACTATACTTTCCTCTGCAATGGCCAGGCCAGGCAATATCAAAACTGGCTTCACATGGCTGGTGTCGTTCGTCCAAGAAAGTGGTTCAAAAACGTAGTCAGGCAACTGATTTCTTTAGACGCTTTAATTTTCTTGTTTGTGTTAACTAACGCACACCAGATTTCGACTAGTAATACCACTACGACAAATTACGACTAGTAAAATACTAATAACGACGATTATTACAAATTGACGACTGACCACTCTTAAATAATTCTTGCAAACTAGCTTAAGCTTTTGAGTACATGACTACACTCAAATGATTGAACCATAACTATCATAGCCCGCAGGTCCTCAAGTAATAATCTTTCTCTTAAACGTCCAGGAACTCATCTCTAGAAGAATACTGGCGGACGCTAGTTGTGTGCTTGTTATCGGCTGTGAAAAAATACATAGAAGAACAAAAAAATAGTCAGACAAGCAACGTGAATAATTTTCATTTCTGTTTTGTCAGTGGGTGAACTTTTTCGCCACGCAATGTCTGGTGTAGCAAGCAAATATAGGAATAACTAAAAAGAATACAAATTTAAGATAGAAGATTGAGCAAGGTGGAAAATTCTGGACAGCCAGCTGGTGGAAAGGTACTTCTTCCGAGGGCGTAATTCTGGAGGTTTTCATCGGTAGTGAGAGCTAATGCAGACAGTGATATTTGCAATGGCTTAGACGACCACCGTGCCACCCCTTTCTTGTTTATCTAAATGTTTCTTATTGTCAGTTTAAAATATATTTTTGTCTAACCTTTGCTCTAGAGGGGGCTTTTTTTAACTTGTTTTTCAATCGTGTGGCCCTGGTTAAAGTCCCGAAGGGGACTGCTCCTAAGCGTTTTTTCCCTCCTGGTCTACCTAGTACGGTTTTCCCCTTACCTAAAAAACTAACACTTCCAAATTCCAATTAGATCTTAAATGCAAGAACAACCTAACTCGGGCCTTGAGAGTTTTTTCATGATTGTTCGCGGGTAAATAAAAGTACATTTACATTTACGTTAAAAGGTTCAAAACGCGGCAGGGGCGTGAGAACCAATGCGGAGCACTTTTGGGACCAAATGGAAAATGTACATTGATGCCTACATGCTATTTTACATCCGAGCGAGCAACTCATGTTCAGTATAATTAGCAAAAGCAACTTAAGTAGCAAAAAAATTAACAAAATACGAAGAACAGGCAAAAAATATGCGAGGAGTAATTGCGCAGTGAAACAATGACTGTAGTTACCTACCAGCTTTGGCTTCGGCATCGTTCTTATTCGTAAATCTTTGGTATAAATACAGAAGCAGCTCAAAAAAAAGGATTGCTCCAATCAAGGCTCCAAGGAGGATTGTCAGTGAAACAACAAGGATACGAAAAGCTGTGGAATTGCCACCCAAAACATTAACCTCTTCGTCTCCCGTGGCAACAGAGAGTTTATCCTTTGAATAAAAAGGTAAAAATATATCAGAACTACCTGGTGGGTCAATTAAGGACAATGGTATTGTTTAACAACTAAAAATAGGTACCTGTAAAGACATTTTCAGAAATCATAACCGAAGAAGGGAACAAAGCTATTTCATACTACCTCCATCTGATCCATAAACTCTTTCAATATGGTATAAACGTCTTCTCTGCGGTGCAGTATGAGATTTCGAATGCAGTCCTCAGCAGGTCAAGCCAAAATATCGTTGTGCTTGAATGCAAAGCCATATGAACGCGTTCTCTCGATTACTTTAGTGACGTGTAGTCTCAAGTGTCTCTCACTTGTTGCATCCAGTAAAGTCCGTGGTACATCTCATCCATTGTCTTGTTCAGAACGAGAGCGTTATGCATGTCATTAAAATTGTCGAACACTGAAAAGCAAATAAAGTTGAAATAAAAATTACAACGTTCATTTGGAGCACGTTTCGGCAGGATACGAACCCATTAATTTCAGTACGCTTACTCAAATGCCTTAAGACGAATCTTCTATTGTGTTTCCATCTTTTATGGCAGTCGACCTGGCCTTGTTTACCAATGAATCCATTGAATTAAGGAGGCCAATTATTTTTCGGAAACAGCCGTCGCGGCGGGGGTGCTAACCAAATGTGACGTTCATCACATACCGTCATATCAAATCAACGAGTTTGGATTATGAATATTATAAGGAAACTCTTGAATCTATATATACTGACTCCTTACTAGCCTACTTAGTGCAAAGTGATTTTTTTTTTCAAAAACTCTACCCGCCATCTTTAGTCTTGTAAAATTTAGAGTACGAGTGATGGGTAGAATAACTGGGAAAAAGTTGCATCCTATGTGAAAAAACAAAGGGTAAGAAAATAGAAGCCCTCGTTCAGTCGGCATATGTATCATCAATTGCTTTTTGGACTTACGTTTTGGACTTCCGCCGCGTCTAACAACTTCCTCAAACACAGGACTGCCCCTTAATACGGCAATCTGGAAAAAATCGTGGAGTTGTTGGCAAGGGAGGGGTGGGGTGGTTACTTGTGTAGGAATCAAATACTTGAAATAACTGATCCCAATTGTTTAAAAGGTTAAAAGTATTTTATATTGGGGAAAAGCTCCATACAATGGATAGTGCAATTGTTCTTCTCAAGGTTTATCCACTGGAAATTTATTCAACTAATGGATAGCGTTATGGAAATTTATTCATCTTACTAGTGGATGGCGTTGTGTACAGGACGGTGTTTTACTGGGGCCTGGCATGGTATTATGTAACCAACGCAGGGGGCCAAAGAACGCATTGACAAAAATAAATTGATTTTGTTTTGTATTTTATGATCGCTCTAGAAATTAATTTTGCCATTTTTAAACACCCAGCACGTGTTCAATGCATTGTCTACCAACGTCAATTTTACTTACCGTACTCATACCACATTAATTTCGCTAATTTTGTTTTCTATTATCCTTCTTAAGGAAATCCAACTAAAAGCTGATTATATCGTGTTACTAGCTAGGACACAGACTTAGAATGTTTTAATAATGGATACCTTCTTTCCAGCCAGGTCTACATCTTTAACAGCTGCGGTAGCGAGTGCTGTGGTAAGAGTAGCTGTCATAAGCGAACACAATGCATTTGTAAGGCCAACCATTATCCACACAATACAGAATACCCGAGCAATAACTGACTTAGGAGCTTTATCTCCGTACCTTAAAACAGATAAAGTAAAAACCCAATGAGTTATCTTATACTTTGGTTAAAAATATTCTTCTCTAGATCATAAAAAATACTTCCCAAGCCCTATTTCCCTAGGAGGCATCAAAACTGTGTACCACGAAACGCGAAACTAGAACCTAGAAAACTGGTAAATGATTGTGGTGAAAGAAATATCGCCAGCTGAGAGCGAATGGAGATGAGATCTTTGCGCAAGCAAGCAGGGAACCAGTAACTCTTCGAAGACGATGAAAAACCTGTCTCCTCTCTAGTAACTACTGCGCATACTAAGCAAACTTTGCTTCAATTATTTATCGGGTGATCAATTTTTGGATTTTCTTACCCAACGGTTGACATGGTAACAAAGGCCCACCAGAATCCTTCACATGCTCCACGATGGAAACGACGAGGAAACTCAACTTTATTCCATGTTGTATCCTTTATAATAAAGAAAAAAGTCGGGTTATCTATTACGGACTTTGTAAAACTTCCAATATTAAATCAAATCTCAAAGTGACACGAAACTGTAAGTCCTGTGTATGTCACACAAAGTTTGTTTTGTTTTTATTTTTACACCAATGGTGGCTTAGCCTTGCTAATAAAACGTTTCCATGGCAGTATACGAAAAATGTTTGGGCGAGGGTTACAAGTTTAAGTTCAACCCTGCATTGAAAGGCCATATTATGTTTTGTACGTACGTCAAACCTTAGGAAAATCTAAGTGATATTGCTACAGTGGACCGCGATTTAACGAAGGCCCAGAATTAGTAAAATTTGTTCGCTTTAACGAGCTTTCGTTATACAGTCGAACTTTGATACAACGAACCACTATATAACAAAGTTCCCAGTATAACGAACGATTTATTTACCCCAGTAGTAAATTAAATATATGGAAAAAAACATGATATAACGAAACCTCGTTAACGCAAACAAATTTTGACAGTCCCTTGGCCCTTTCTTAAATCGAGGTTCCACTTTATCGCGGTTCTTTTCCAGATATTTTACTATTACTGGGGTAAATAAAATCGTTCCTCATGATACAGAGGACGTCGTATAGTAGTTTGTTGTATCGAGGTTCTACTGTACTCACAGTAACGTTGTAAAATACATCGGAGCTGAAGTTACGAATAGTACGAATAGTGGCCAGGTAATTCCGCCACCCAGAAAACTGGAAATAAAGGGCCATCGGGCATCAGCGATTTCGGCTAATATTAGATGATGTACATTATGATAAGGCTGTACTTACTAGCGCCCAGATAAAAATGTCAGAGATAGCGCATAACAACAATGAGATGAAGACAATCGGCCATTCGTCATAAATTGCCTTCCAAAGGACATTCAAATCACTCTCCTTGGCGTTATCTTTGTTCCCAATCACAACCAGCCCGGGAGATTCAAGGACTTTGATAAATGACAATTGACCTCCATAGTGGATATCAAAGAACTCGTTTTCAATGTAAACTGGCATTCCCATGGAAGGTTCATGGTGAAATATATTTGCATGTAGTGTTTCTTTATTCTCCGCTTTGTGGGCATATTGGAGACGAGTTCCTTTATTGTCCAGATACTTGCAACAATATTGAACAGCGCGCTCAATAATGCCGTAAAATACACCCGTGAGTTTGCCATCTGATTTCTTGGTTTTTACATCGGTGTTGTCATTAGACTGAAAAATAAAAGGAGGCAAGGACAGCCATGTTATGTTGATTACCCGAGAGCAAAGTGGTGGATTGCTGTTTGGTAAAACTGGCGCTTCAGCTGGAAAGGTCGTAACGCTGTCATCAGTGGATGGTGGGATGATCGTGGAAGGATCTTGAGTGCTGTGTACCGTCCCCATTGGGCCGAATGTGGGCGGTCCATCTGTCATGTTAGCGGTATGAACAGGGGGGACATCTGAGACGCCGTCATCATTTGCCGGTGTTGGTGGAAGAGAGCCGAATGGTGGTTGCACATCCGTCGTGTATGCAGTATCAGGAGGCATATTTGAGACGCGTTTGTCATTTCCCGTCAGTAGAAATTCAGAGGATGACATGTCATCCTTGCAAAGGTCGTTTACGGACGTTTCGTTGTCATCTGCACTACTTTGGTTCAATTCCAAAATATTGACCATGACATAATTCAGACCTTCAGCGTATTGCAAGGAAATAAGAGAAGAACCTAAAGCAACTGTAATTACGAACTGGTGAGGAATCATCTTCGCAAATGATCATTTAGAATTTATCATCGTTGAAAGACCAAGTATATCTCTGCGACGCGAACAAAGAACTGAAACCACTTCCAGAATCGCGCAAATATAACCACAAATACAGCTGGTGCTGTGTTTAGTATTTCACCCCTCTATTAACTTTTCGGACATCTATCTTCTTTGAGCTATGCGTGATATTCTTTTCTTTAGAATGCCTTTTAATCTCTTCCAAGTGTGACGTCCTTTATGAAGGCGTTCCAGCAATATGTTGTTAGTATTAATTTGTTTGCCAATGCTGCCTGGGCTGTGATATATGCGTTTTAATTTTCACTTTTAAAACATCCGTCTGCAACTGTGAAAATTATAACGGCTCTGCATATGTTTTCCCTTGCTCCTATTAAACTTATTTTCTTCTATTCCGCAAAACTTTAAAGAACAGTATTAATTAGACAAGGACTGGCAGCAAAGCTTTGAAAAGTTATAAACTCGTGCCTGGACCCCTGCCCACAACTTTGATTTCGATGTTCGCACTTGTAATTAGCCGAACATACATAACTTTTTATGAGATGGAAACGGACTTTCAGAACAAAATAGCATACAGTTATCATTTAAAATATACATTTAGCCATGGCTAAAAGCGAAGCTCCGTGTATATACTTATAAGGGACTGTTCGTTATTTATGCCTAAGGGGGGGTCGGTGATTTTCAAGCAATTCAGGCATATGAAAAATTTACTCCTCCCCGGAAGTGGGTATTTTAAAAAATTACCCCCCCATTTATGTGACAGGCCCAAAATGTAACCCCCTACCCCACCCCCCTCCCCTCAGGACAAGCCGACATTCTTTCGTGATGCTTGACTTCTGATAGGTGCTTATCTATCACTTTATCTCTGTAACCCCTCATACGGAGTCTTTGCTTGAAATTAGTTACGTTCTCTTCGAACGTTTTCTCAGAAGAGTTTGTTCTGAGTAATCTTAATTAAGGTTTCGCCTTTTATGAATCCTTTCTTAACCCCTGGGGGATGACATGAAGAGAAGTACGTGTATTGGAAAGTTTCTGTTGGTTTCAAGTGTGTACGCACATCTAGGATTGATTCCTTCTTAACTCTTTCTCCAGCAATAAAATCAATTTCAAAACGGGGCCCATTTTGTAGTTTTTCTTTCACGACGATGTCAAATGCAAGAAACGTGTATGAGACCTTTACAAATACAATATTTCCCTTTTAAAAACTTTCTTTCCTTGACCATACAGTACAGAATGTACCTGAAATTTCTTTAGAAACTTCGCCGCCTTGGTTGGTTCAACAGACAAAGCGCTCCGACGTGAGGAAAACAAGGTTGAATTCCTCTTTCTAAGGACAATTTCGTAAGAAAACGCTTTCGTTTGTCCTCGAAAAGGAAACTGAGCAATCTTTTAAACTTCTCCTTTCCATATGAGTCTTTTATCGGTGTATTTTCAACCTTTTAATGCAAAACTTTGGTCTTGAAAACCACCGCATGGCGAACAAACGCGAGCCATTTTGTTGAAAATGATTGTCCATCTTATTTATCAAGGAATTCCAAAACTTTTTGAACTCGGCAAAGAATTAACTGAACGTAGATAAACTGTCGCTGGTTTTCATTTGAATCTTTCACTGGAAACCTATTATATCTTGACCGGTTTAAACGTATGAAATATGTTGGATGTTGCCGGATCCATCTGAGGCCAACTTTAACTCATCGAACATGTACACTGATCCAACATCATTCAGCACCGTCCTACAATCATGTTAATCCAAGTCCATTGGTTGAATTTCAATCAATAATTTTGATCCGACTGAACGGACCCTGTGGTAGAAGAATAAAAAGAATCGATAACTTCAGCAAGCTAGGCATTTCGTGTCTCTCCAAGGGCATGGAATGAAAACAGGTAAGAGACACTCTGCAAACAGCCACCTTCACCAAATCCCGTTTTAAATCCCATACAAACTCAGTGTTTTTACATGACCGTAAGCGGCCCGCAGACACCTTCAGGGTTTACGAGTTACATTCTCTCTTTGTTCTTAAGCTCCCGTAGCGGACACCCGAAATGAAATCTCATTCGCCTCTTAGTTTTGTATTTTTTTTTTAAAATCAATGAGCTTCAAATCGCTGTTTCAGTGTTTTGTTTGTTTTCTTTTGTTGCTGTTGTTGTTGTTTTTTTCACAAACACATTGGGTTACACTTCAAAACAGCACCAATCTCGTACCCAGAGTCTTCTGGCTTTTTGGTCAGCGGGGTAATGGCAGACCAAAA